TTTTTTTTTATTGTAGACATACAGCAGCCCCCTTTTCCCAGTAAATACACCAAGCCCACGCTGCCAACATTAACACATACGCGGCCTCGTTTTCTTCACAGAGTCGTGTCGATGCCTCGTCGCCGACTGGGAAGTCCGCCGGTCGGATGTGGCCCTTCCTGCGGTAGTGGCACTCTCACTGTTGGGCTCGTTTCTGAAATGAACGGGCATCTCCTTGTCGGACCGCGGCTGCTTCGAGGGCGTTTCGTTTTCGTCAATAATATCATCGTCGTCTCGCTGGTGGCCATTGAACGCCATTGAAATGACTAATTAGCTACATATAGGCTGACTGCTCGGTCAAATGAAACCAAATGATTTATGAGGACAATGAATTTTGAAGCTCAACGAGGTAGCTAATTAGGTAGCTAAGTAGCTAACAGTCCTTTGAAAAGGCTGGGCTACATGTCCTTTTTGTGTTCGCTGTCAAGACAGAGGTGGGCGGGGCTAACGTGTTAGTGAAGGACGCAACGACCAATCAAACGGCGACATTGACAGTCGGGAAAACGGTTTATAAAAAGAGGCTGATGTCACTTTTTTTCTTCATAGTATGAAAAACGTGATGTCTGGGAGTAGAAAATAGGTTAAATATAAACAAGTCAAACTTTGTATTGTTCTGTTGTCTCTTATTCAAAACTCTTATTTAAATAGCGCAAATAAAAGAAATAGGAAAAAATAAACTTGAACTTTGAAAACTAAAGTAATATATAGAACAAATAACCGTAGTTTTAGTATTCAGTTATATTATAAAACTAAGACGAAACTAATAAAAAAATAAACTAAAACATTTAAACAACAGACTGAAAAAAGCAAACCAACTGAAACTATAATGAAATAAAAACAAAGTCAAAACGAAAGGGAAAAAATTACAAATTACATAACTATCTTATATTACAGACACATTGACAGATAGACAGAAGCATAGTTTTAGAGGCATTACTAGTAACACAATTTCATGAAATACAGTAAATATAATGAGACAATCTGAATTTTATTTCATGGCCTATTATGCCTGATTATATGCAACTATTTCCTAAAGGAATTCAGTGGTTACAGTTTAAAAAACAAAAAAATAAAACAAAACAAAAACATACATCTTTTCAGAAATTCAAGTTTATTGATGTGAATGATGAAGTGCAAAGCCAAATCAGTGCATATAAATTTTAGGAACTTTTACATTTTTACAGATTACATAACCACATGAACTGTAATTATGTCATCACCTCAGCAGCTCAAAAAGGCTCTTAAAAAGTGCAAAAGATTTTCCTTAAAATTTCATTATTGACATAACTATGTACAATAAAACCTCTCAACTTACAGAACAAACCTAAACAGGTTTTTATTTAAAGGAGAAAAATCATCTATTGACGACTTAAATGTTGAATCAAACATTTGCACCATATAAGACAACCTTAGGCTTAAATTGTGCCAATTTTTGCAAAAGTAGGTGCCAGTTGCAAAATATAGTTATTGACATTTTCTAACCGTAAAATAACATTGATTAAATTTAAACACACATTTAGATACATGAAAGCAGAAGAGGACACGTGTCAAACGGCATAGACAAACACCCAGGTTATGATACAACTATCACTGCCATGATACGAAAACACTTACCTGCTGTTTAAAAAAAAAAAATTATGCAGGGATTAGCTGACTGACTGCTTGATTGCTGAGTGTTTGTTTTTTTTATGTTAACAGCACATCAATCTTTCTTAAAATAAGTAATTAGGTATCTATATAGGACTTGGAGAAGGCAGTCGACCGTGTCCCTCGGGGTGTCCTGTGGGAGGTGCTGCGGGAATATGGGGTGTCTGGCCCATTGCTACGGGCCATTCGATCCCTGTACAACCGTTGCAAGAGCTTGGTTCGCAATGCCAGCAGTAAGTCTGACTCGTTCCCGGTGGGTGATGGGCTCCGCCAGGGCTGCCCTTTGTCACCGATTTTGTTCATAATTTTTATGGACAGGATTTCTAGGCGCAGCCAAGTGGCGGAGGGCTTTCGCTTTGGTGGCCTCAGAATCTCATCTCTGCTCTTCGCGGATGATGTGGTTCTGTTGGCTTCATCGGGTGAGGGCCTACAGCTCGCACTGGAACGGTTCGCAGCCGAGCGTGAAGCAGCGGGAATGAGGATCAGCACCTCCAAATCTGAGGCCATGGTTCTCAGCCGGAAAAGGGTGGAGTGCCCACTCCGGGTCGGGGACGAGTTCCTGCCCCAAGTGGAGGAGTTCAAGTATCTCGGGGTCTTGTTCGCGAGTGATGGGAGAAGGGAGCCGGAGATCGACAGACGGATTGGTGCTGCGGCTGCAGTGATGCGGGCGCTGCACCGGTCCGTCGTGGTGAAGAGGGAGCTGAGTGTAAAAGCGAAGCTCTCAATTTACCGGTCGATCTACGTCCCTACCCTCACCTATGGCCACGAGCTGTGGGTAGTGACCGAAAGAACGAGATCGCGAATACAAGCGGCAGAAATGAGCTTCCTCCGAAGGGTGGCTGGCCTCTCCCTTAGAGATAGGGTGAGAAGTTCGGCCATCCGGGAGGGGCTCAGAGTAGAGCAGCTGCTGCTCCACATCGAAAGGAGCCAGCTGAGGTGGTTCGGGCATCTGACAAGGATGCCCCCTGGGCGCCTCCTGGGTGAGGTGTTCCAGGCATGTCCACCCAGGACACGCTGGAGAGATTATATCTCTCGGCTGGCCTGGGAACGCCTTGGTGTTCCCCCGGATAAACTGGAGGAGGTGGCTGGGGAGAGGGAGGTCTGGGCCTCTCTGCTTAGGCTGCTGCCCCCACGACCCGGCCTCTGATAAAGCGGATGAAGATGGATGGTATCTATATAGCACATATATATATAAATATTTACAAATAAATACATTTAAAGCCATATTTCCCCACTATGAATAGGGGAAAACAAAGAATTTACACTGTGGTGAACTACTGGTACTCCTGCCTCCACAGTCCCCAGCAAGCCAAACTCAGGTCCTTGATTCATTAACTCATGCTGGATGACAGCCAACAGTCTTATCTAGCTTGTCAGAGAACATGCAAACAATGATTAATACACGCCTTTAAAAAACACACATTTGCATCGCACAAGTGCATAAATAACCTGAGATTGTAACCCAGTTCTATGAAGTGACCCGACTAGAATAGTAAGGGTAGACTTAGTTTTTGTTCCCTATAGTCAACCTCACTCAATAATAAAGACATAAAATGTCAAACTTAAGAGCAGAATGGTCATTAGTGACGTGATCAAAGGTCTGCAGAGCCAGCTGTAATTACTGTAGGTAATTATTAAACTGCTGCCTCATGCCAACCCATGGCAGTGATTTCATTAAGGCACCTAAAATCCTTTTCAAAAGCCTTAAAGTCTAATCTTCTCTTTCATTCCAGGTATTATATCCCCTTATTTGTTAAACCTCCACACCATCAGCATTGCACAGGCACCCACTCCTGCAGCGGCCAGAATGTACTTTGCGTTAGGTGATTGGCTGAGACAGGTCCACGGAGCTGAAGTATCTGCTGGCTCTTCTCCTGCTTTGAAGGTGGTGTTTAAACTCCCAGAATCAGCAGCAGCAGCATGTGGGAATGACGGTGGTGCCGAGGAGATTTCTTTGGCCGTTTCACCATTGACGTCTAGGTTAGGGATAGATGGCTCACCGGACGCATGTATCACCAGCTCCTGTGTTTCAAAGCTTTGACACGGTGACTCAAACTGGTTCTCCTCAGGTTCGTTATGGTTGAGATTAGCGAAGCCGGTCTCCTGGCATGGCAGTGGCGTGACTGTAGTAACTGTGGAGTCGAAAGAGGACACGTCATCCGGTGGAGCTTCACTTATTTCCAGACGCTCAGTGTTGCCCGAGTAGGGCTCCGAGTAGGGCTCCGAGCTGGACGCAAGGATAGTAGGACTGGGTTGATTTTGCGGTTGGATGCTGACGAGTTGCCCTGGCTTGCTCAGACAAACATCATCATTAAGAGAGGCCTCCATCACTGGAGTACCAGGCCTGGGGGAGGCTTCAGCTGCAGTTTCAACAATCTGGGGGGGAAATTCATAACAGAGGGTCAATTTTATTGCCAAACTGCAATTTTTCAATGTCCTAACTTTCAGGTATGTGTAAAAGCTTATAGGTTCGTTAAAAGCACCTATATGGAGGTCTGGTAATAACACTAATACATACTACTGTCAAAAATGCTAACTTAAGTTTCCATTAAATATATTACATGTCATACAGGAGAACTTTTATACCGGATTTTCTCACTTGTACACGTTTAATTGTATTCTAGAATATTTTCCTCTCTGACATTTTGAATGAACTCATCATTACCAAACGTTTACAAATAAATGTGCAGGATGGGTTTTATGAAAAGATGCCTTGTGAAAGATTAGGCCTATAAGACTGCTAGAAATTGTTTTTGTGTGTGTGCGCCTTCCAGTTTTTTTGTATACCCTGCAGTAATGTGAGCATGTGGCTTAATGGCACATGTCCAGTGGTGTTATGCCCTTCCAGTGACTGTCAGCTGGAGACTTTTACTCGCCAGAAAATACAGTAATGTCCCAACAAAGGTCGAACTAGCAAGGCCCTTTAAAAAATTACACATTTTTCAACATACTTTTTAGGGTTCAAGGATATACACAATATACAGTAGTTGGATCATTAAAAAAAGTTACTTACTTACAAAAAGAAGAAAAGGCTACAATCGTACTGCAATACTATTAGCAAAGGTTATTTTTGTATGTATTTGGAAACAATTGTAGCAACCCTTTGCATGTTCTCTGTCCACAGATTACTGTTCTTAGTATAAATAATTTAATGTAACTTTATATTTATAGAAATGAAATTTCTCTAGAAAAGAGAGAAAAAAAATGCCGAGTATGCCACCCAAAGAAACCACAGAGGTAAAGCTTCTCGTTTTGAACGAAATGCTGCCTAAGGTGGTTTAAGCACCAAGCTAAGTTAAGTGAATATCAGACAGCACTGTTGCAGGAGGTGCCATTATTCAAGTCTTAAAATGATCATATTTTAGTATTCACCTGTGTAGAAGGAGGCCCAGAAATCTCTTCAGGCTGTGAGACAGCATCAGGATTTTTGTTCAATGGAGGAGTGCTGTCCTGGACCGGAGGCTTCTCTGGGGTCCTTGTGTAGAAAGAGGGTCCATCAGTCACATCAGAGTTGATCTGGGCTTCAGGTGGACTCTCTGGCTCCTTGTTCTTTTTGGTAATCCTGCTTCTGAGAGGATCGGCTTCATGGTGTTCAGTTGGATGTGGTGGTG